CTTAACATACCTGCAACAAGAGGCCAAGACGGGAGCTTGGGTTTCATGCAACAGTTGAGTGTGTACTGATGCTCTGTGCAGACACTCCTTGGCTTAGTAAGCGAGTTGCAGCCCAGTCTTACACAAAATGAACATACTCCTACAAACCCATCATAAAGATTAATACTTGTAAGTTGAACCATAGTCAACTGGGGGCCATGTGTGCATCAAATACAAAACACTCCCAATACTGTCTGAACCACAGTAACAGCCTAATGGAGCTCAGCTAGTATGGACCATCCATTCGTGTGCCCATTCGGCTGCTGTTGCGTGCTTCCTTTAAGCCAGAGAGTGTTACAGGCACCTGGTATGTGGTGGTCAGTAATAAAGCATCTTCTCTCATCCAGCATGGTCCACCTCCAGGCACAGGCAGATGATGTCATCAGTGCCGACTACAGCATCACCCAAACAAATTCTGCATGCCAAGCACCCAACTCCAGTGTAGGAGTTGTAAGATGTTGTAAGAACAGAGAGAGGCAGGGTTGAGCATGGCAGCACACACATCCCAGCTTGTTTCTGGACAGACTGACAAGACCAGAGGACCGCTACTATAGTCTCATGTCAGAAAAGTAGTCATGGTTACAGGGTAGGACAAAGATGACTCATCCTAGCCAGAAAGTCCCTGGTTTATCTTCGTTTTGGTTTTGGTTTTAGTTTTTTTTCAAAACTGTGTAGTTCTGGGACTCACTCTGTAGACCAGGCTGGCCTCGAACTCACAGAGATCCCTCTGCCTCTGCCTCCTGACCAAGTGCTGGGATCAAAGGCATGCACCACCACCTCCTGGCTTCCTGGTTTATCTTAAGAAAAGTCAGAGATGGGTGCATTCTTAGAGTCAGGTAAACACAGACAAGATTCCAATGCTTTTATCTGCTTAGGGTATGCAGGACAACCTGGCCAGAGGTAATCATGATGTTCTGCTCCCAAATGGCTGCAGACATGTGACACTGTATCCATAAAACCCTGAACAGCAGATGTACTTGAACTTCCATTAGAAATTGTCCTGTGTGTGTGTGTGTGTGTGTGTGTGTGTGTGTGTGTGTGTGTATGTGTGTGTGTATTCATTTGGGTGCAGGTGCACACATATGTGTGGGTGCACATGTGTGTAGAGACCAGAGGTTAACCATAGGTGTCATTCCTCAGGAGTCATCCATCTTGTGACTGCCTTGGGGCTTGTCCATTAGCTTAGGCTGGCTATTGTCCTCTCTTTGTCTTCTCACCATTAGGATTACACATGCATGCGCGCACGCACATGCACACGCACACCACCACTCCTGCCTTTTTACGTGGGTCTGGGGAACACACTCAGGTCCTTATGCTTACACAGCAAGCGCTTTACTGACTGAGAAATCTTTCCAACCCTAAGAATTTGTTCCAGTCTTGTCTGACTCCTCCAGCTCAAGGAGCGGACACTCCCATGCAAAGAGTTACTAGCAGTCTGAATTTAAGCACGGCAGTACAACGATATACCCATGATGGCGCGTCACTGCCAACTGTCTTCCTTACTTTTCTGTGGCTGCGAGAGACACCATGACCAAGACAACTTATAGACCGAAGAGTTTATTGGGAGCTCACCGTCTCAGAGGGTTAGAGTTCATGATCATCATGGTAGGGATTGTGGCAGCAGGCAGGAGGGCAGATGTCAGGCGTGGTGCTGGAGCATGTTTTGGGAAGGATTAAGGGGTGTGGCTATGTTGGAGGAGGCGTGTCACTGGAGGTGAGCTTTTAGGTTGCAAAAGCCCACACTGTTCCCAGTTAGCTTGCTCGCTCGTGCTCTCTCTCTCTCTCTCTCTCTCTCTCTCTCTCTCTCTCTCTCTCTCTCTCTCTCTCTCTCTCTCTCTCTCCTGCTCCCCCTCCCTCCCTCCCCACTCATGGTTTTTGTCTCAAGATGCAAGCTCTCAGCCTCTGCTCCAATATCATGGCCATGTCTGCCTTCCTGCTGCCCTGCTCCCTGAGATATAGTGGAGTCACCCTGTGAAGCTCTAAACAGGTCCCCAGTTAAATGCTTTCTTATGCGGGGCATGGTGGTGCACACCTTTAATCCCAGCACTCGGGAGGCAGAGGCAAGCGAATCTATGTGTGTTCTAGGCCAGCCTGGTCTACATAGTGAGTTTCAGAACAGCCAGGGCTACACAGAGAAACCCTGTCTCAAAAAAAAAAAAAAAAAAAAAAAGAAAGGAAGGAAGAAAGAAAGAAGAAAAATGCTTTCTTATGTAAGTTCCCTTGGTCATAGTGTCTCTTCACAGCAAAGGAAAAGTAACTAAGCCAGCCACACCTTCTAATCCTTCCCAAACAATTCCACCAACACAACAAAGTATTCAAATAGATGAGCCTATGGGGGCCATTCTCATTCAAACCATCATACCGACCTTTGAAGTTTTGTTTGACATGAAAAAAAAAAATGAAATGAGAACAAGATGGCAGAGAGTTGATAGAAGGGAGGGGCCTGTGGCACAGTCCCCAACGCTCTAGCTATGTCTAGCCCTCACAGCCATCTCCGAATAGATACTACTGTAGCACGCACTGGCCTTGTGCTTACTAGAGAGAAGGTATCATTGCAAGCTTCCCTGAGCCAAGCAGCTAAGGTTCTGAAGAACCAGTGTTCAAGTTGACCTAAGGAGGAAGTGAAAAGTCGGGGCTCTGTCATCCCTGGAGCCCCATCCGACCCCCTTCTTCTGTGGTGTGTTGGGAACCGAGTCTCATGTAACCCGGTGCTGATAAAATTCCTTCCTGGGGAAGACATAAGCAATGTCTACCTCTCCTCCTCAGGTTCCAGTGGCAAACCGAGGTATGACTCTACTGCCAAAGCTCACTCTTAGGAACCAGTTCATTTTGGGGGCTTCCTTACAGAGCATAGGGGAGAATTACTTACAGGGGTGTGGGTGCTCCCGCCTCCAGAGACCGCACCAGAAAGGATTTCCCCATTTCCCAGTCTTCTTTAGCTTATATATATATATCGCCCTCCCACGTCCACGTGCAATCAAGGCAGCGTTGTTTACAGTAAGTTGCAGGGAACGCTGTATACTCAGGTGAAATCTTCCATCAGGGGAAGCAAACAGCCCAAAAGTCCAGCTGGTGTAATTTTTTTGTAAGTGGACACAGCTGAACTCCCCAAGATGGTGGTTGCTTGGCTCCCAGGGCACTACACACACCACCAGGCTGGCCATGAACTGGATAGGTAGCCAAGGATGAACCCGCAATTCTGATGCTCCTGTCTGCACCCCGCAGACTTGGCATCACAGGCACACAATACCGTGCCTGGTTTCTGTGGTGCTGAGAACCAAACCTAGGGCTCTGTGCAGGCCAGAGCGCATGCGCACGGGTAACTGAGCCACACCCCTACCAAAAGCCCCTTCACCTGGGTTCCAGGCAGGGGTTAGGCTTCAGGAACAGCTACCACCTGTGTTTGAGGCCTGTCCTCTCTCTTCCCCCAGCAGGTGACAGTGGCTAATGTCTTCCTCCCAACATTGTTACCCCCGCACCAGGGGTCTTCAAAGGCTTTGTTTCCTGGGAGTTGGGAGGCTGGAGGCAGGGAGTTCTAATCCACATAGTGAACCCCAGGTCAGTTGAGGCTGCAAAGCGAGACCCTGTCTTAAAATGAAAGCAAGCCAACAAATAATAATAAGGCCTTATTGTGGGTGTTATGCACATCCCTTATAGAAAATCCAGAGCAGCCAGAAAAGGTGAAAGTCGGGCTGTTGAGATGACTCAGGGACCTGCGGCCACATAGCACACACACACAAATTGATCATTTAAAGTTAATTTAATTTAGTTTTTTTGTTTGTTTGTTTGTTTTGTTTTGTTTTTTTCAAGACAGGGTCTCACTATGTAGTTCTGGCTGTCCTGGAGCTCACTCTGTAGACCTTGAACTCAGAGATCCTCCTGCCTCTGCCTCCAAAGTGCTGAGATTAAAGACTTGCACCACTCCTGTCTGGATCAAAATAAAGTTTAAAGATTAAAATAAAATTGGCCTGGAATTCTCTTGATGTTGGGGAAAAATGTATATGTATATATGTATGTACATTATATATATATAAACACACAGATGTCTTTATGTGTGTGTTTACCTGTATGTGTGAGTGTATATGTGAATGTGCATGCATGTATGTATGTGTATATATGTAACTATTTGTGTGTATGTATATATGTCTAAGTATGTGTGTTCTGTATGTGTGAATGAATATGAATGTGGAAATTTATGTATGCGTGGATGTATGTGTGTATGTGTAATTGTATTTCTGTGCGTATGTCTGTACGTATATGTGTGAGTGCAAATGTATGTGTTTATGTTTATGTGTGTCAGTGTATATTATGTGACTTGTGTATATGCATGAGTGGATGTATATTTCTACATGTAACTGTGTTTTTGTGTGTATATGTCCGTACGCGCGCGCGCGCGCGTGCGTGTGTGTGTGTGTGTGTGTGTGTGTGTACGCGCGCGCGCGTGTTTGTGTGTTGCTGGTTTTGGAACCCAGGGCGACCTGCCCATACCCCCGGCTTGCCCTTGGCTGGCAGGATCCGGCCTTGGCGAGGCCCTGCAGCTGCCCCGGACTGCGGCGCGCGGTAACCCGGCACCTCCTGCGCCGCTGCAGCGGGGTAGCGGGCTGCGCCTCGGGTTGCCGGGCAACCAGCGCCTTAGCAACCGGGAGGGGGCGGGCCGGAGGGCGGGAGGAAGCCGGAAGACGGAGGCGAAGCCTCGCGAGGGTTGGATTGCGCGCGGACTCCGAGTGCGGCGGGCCGGCGGCAGCTGTCACTCATGGCGGCGGCGGCGGCGGCTCCGCAGCAGCAGCAGCGGCCCGCGGCGGCCCGCGCCCGGAACCTGCCCTGGTAGGAGCGGCCCGCATCCTGCTTCCCGCCCTGCCCGCTCCCGGCTCGCAGACCCCCGGCCTCGTTGCCTGCAGCCGCTCGCCCTCCCGCCGTCCCGCGTCCGCACTAACCATCCCGCTCCCGAGGCCTGAGCGCACCTTAGCCGTCCTCGGGTGCCTCGAGCATCCTCCGTGCGCCTTGATGACCCTGAGAGATCGATGGCTTCCTTTAGAAAGGCCCAGGGACGCGGGGGAGTGGGTAGACTTGGATTCGAACTCGGGTGTCCGAATTCAGCGCTTGCTTTCTTTTTCTCCTCTCGTGTTACCTTTTATGTATTTGCGGGGGAGGGGAGTGTGGCAGCGCACCCGTGTGGAGGTCAGAGGACAACTTTCAGTACCTGGTTCTTTCCTTCCACCAACGTGGAATCCCCGGGATCGAACCCCGGTCCTCAGTGCCTTTACTTGCTGAGCCATCTCGGGCCCCAGGGCTTGAATTCTGAACGGTCGGTCCTACAGCAGCTAGCGAGGTTTTAAAAGCAAGCCCGGCAGTTGTTTTGACTCTCCTGGTCTAAGCCTGGGGAGGAAGAACCGTCTTGGGCCACACGTTAAAAGTCACAGGGATGGAGTCACAGACTGTGGCCTTTTGGGTCCGGCTTCTCGAACTCATGGCCCAGCCAAATCATAACTTGCTTGTGAGGATTTGAGTATGAGTTCCTATCCAAGTTGTTCAGGCTCAGTGCTGTTGACTTGGGGACCCTCTGTGGGGGTGGGGCAACTGTCCTGCTCACTGTAGGGTGCTCAGTCACCTCCTGACTCCTACTCACCAGATACCACTAACACCCTCCGCCCACTTATTACAGCCTGACAGATGTCCCCTGGGGGACAGATCTCACCCCTGGTTGTAGTGAGATGTGAAGGGGCTTCTTTGCATGTGACAGAAAACGGCTTGCATTTGTATACACTGTAACTCGTGCTGAATCCTATTTCAGGGTTGAAAAGTACCGGCCACAGACCCTGGCCGATCTCATTTCTCATCAGGACATTCTGAGTACCAGTGAGTATCCGTGTCTGTTGCTGTGGTCATTTTGGGGCGGCTTGGATACATTTGGTGGTGATGCCGTGTCTGCTGGGTGACAGGGTAAAGGATCAACTGGACTTTATAGGATGGGGTGTTTTGGTTCCTTTTCCATAAGTGCGCCAAAATACCTCCAAGGACAAAGTTTTTATTTTTTTTTAAATTAAAAAAAATTTTTTTTATATTTTTTGTTTTTTTCAAGACAGGGTTTCTCTGTGTAGCTTTGCGCCTTTCCTGGAACTCACTCTGTAGACCAGGCTGGCCTCGAACTCACAGAGATCCGCCTGCCTCTGCCTCCTGAGTGCTGGGTTAAAGGCATGCACCAGCACCGCCCAGCTAAGGACAAATTTTTAAAGATATTTTATTGTTTTATTTATTGTTTAGGTGTTTTGTTTACACATACATGTCTGTGCACCATGTGTGCCTGGTACCTCCAGAGGCCAGAGGGCATCGGATCCTCTGGAAGTGTCATTGTAGGCAATTGTGAGCCACAGTGTAGGTGCTGGGAACCAAACCCGGGTCCTCTGTAAGAGCAGCAAGCTCTCACTTTACTGCTGAACCGTCTTTTCAATTCCTCGCCCCATTTTCTAGACCCTCCCACGATAGGTAGGGTAAGTCCGTGGAAGACAGTCAAACCATGAGGACACCTCAGGACGGAACCTCCCCGCCTCTGCCTCTGGCTGGGACACTGAAGGATGGAGGACAGCTAGCACAACTCTAGCTTGAGTGAATGGGAGGAGCGTCCCGGGGACTGATGGTGTCTCCTTCCTCCCGCCTCAGTTCAGAAGTTCATCAGTGAAGACCGTCTGCCACACCTGCTTCTCTATGGCCCTCCGGGGACAGGAAAGACATCCACCATCCTGGCCTGTGCCAAGCAGCTGTACAAAGATAAAGAGTTCGGCTCCATGGTCTTGGAGGTGAATGGGACATTCACTCTACAAGTAGCTCAGACCTCCAGACTCTTAGTTCCGCTAGCTCTCTTTAACTCCCTGGCCTTCTGGGTCCTGGCCGGCTATAGCGGAAGTGGGGGATGGGAGGTGTCAAATGGGGATGCTGTTTGGACCCAAAGGGGGGTTAACTTTGGACAGCCTCCACTTCCTTCAAGAGCCCAACTCAGAGGTCGCGCCCTCCCTACAGCCTGCTCTACCTCCCACAGCTCTTGTTGATCCCCTTCAGATTTAGGGGTGACAGTGAGTACTGCATAGCCCTGTAGCTTCTGTAAACCAGTGATTCTCAACCTTCCTAACGCTGCGACCCTTTAATCCAGTTCCTCATGTCGTGGTGACCCCCCCAACCATAGAATTATTTTCATTGCTACTCATGACTGTAATTTTGCAAGTTATGAATTGTAAATATTTGTGTTACCAGTGGTCTTAGGCGACACCTATGAAAGGGTCCATTAGATGCCCCTCCAAGGGGGTCGTGACCCACAGGTTGAGAATCACTGCTTTAGACTCAAACACCTTTAAAATGGCTGTTTCTTCATCTGGATCTTCTCAGGTTACTGCACTGAGATACGCCGTCTGTGGATGTTGGGACCTTGGCTGATAATCTTAATACCCTTAGGTTCCAGAAATCTAAATGTCTGAAAGACAAGCATTTGAGGACCTAGGGAGGGATGTAGCTCATTTGGTAGAGTCCTCACCTACCATCCACGAAGTCCTAGCTTTGATCCTTAGCATGGAATAAACAGATGCACACCTATCGTCCCAGCATTCAGGAAGTGGAAGCGGGAGGGTCAGACGTTCATGTTCATCTCAGGCTGTGTGAGTTCAAGACCAACTTGAGGACAGAAGGCCCTCACTCCAAAGAAAAGCATTTGACTTATGCCGTAGACATGAGGCTCGGCCCCTTGCTGTTCAGTGTTCTTGCTCTAGCTTATTCAAAACCTGACAGCCTCCAGGTGCTGAGAGAGGACTAGAATGAGCATCGTTTTCTCAGGTCTCCAGGCCCTGTGTGTATTTCTTCAGTTTCTGTGGATGGTCTTCGAGGGGCGGGAGAAGGAAGGGTCAGGTGCCGTTCAGGATGTTATGTGATGGTGTCGTGAGGCTGGATATAGGGAATTCGTTTTTTTTTTTTTTTTTTTTTCTTCGAGACAGGGTTTCTCTGTGTAGCTTTGCGCCTTTTCCTGGAACTCACTTGGTAACCCAGGCTGGCCTCGAACTCACAGAGATCCGCCTGGCTCTGCCTCCCAAGTGCTGGGATTAAAGGCGTGCGCCACCACCGCCCGGCTTTTTTTTTGTTTTTGAGGGAATTCGTTTTTAATGGTCGTGTCTCAGCTGTCCTTAGACCTAGGGAACCAGCCGGCACTCCTAGAGCGCTGAAGAGACACTTTGCAGCCAGGACTTTATAGCCGCCGGCACAGGGTGTGATTTTCACTGTGGCCTCTCTCCCGAGTGTAGCTGAATGCTTCCGATGACCGAGGAATAGATATTGTCCGGGGGCCCATCCTCAGCTTTGCCAGCACAAGGACCATCTTCAAGTAAGAATTATATCTGTTTCTCTCTCCCTAGAGGTCTTAGTGCGTGACGTCGGGACCTAGCCTCACTATTTGGTCAGTGTCTAAAGGGAAGGAGGAATGACTTGGTCAGAAGTGAGCAGACAAGTCAGGGATGGTCCGAGAGATGTGCGGTGCTAGGGTAGGGGACTGCCTGAGCCTACACCAGCAGCAACCCTGGGATCGAAGGGTCCATGTTAGCTGGATGGACGAGCCAGTCTGAACTTAAACAGAGATCACTGAGATCAGGAAGGAGGACTGGCATGGTGGTCGGAATCAGGAAAGGAAGGGGGCGCTGAGATGGCTCAATGGGTTAAGGTACTTGCCACCAAGCCTGACGACCCAAGTTCGATCCCAGGGACCCACAGGGTGAAAAGAGAGAACTGACTTCCACAAGTCATCCTATGACCTCCATGTTTCTGTTACGGCACTTGGAGAGGGTGTGTGTATGCACACACACAATGTGATAAATGGGCTTGGGTGTGTGTGGAGCTGCTTGGCCTGCCTACTCACAGCCCTGGGTTCCAGCCCCAGCCCCACAAGCAAGCAGCTGGCAAAAGAATACTGAATAATGAAGAAAAACAATACAGGACCCAGATCAGCCTTCACTTCTGGCTATGGGTTGAAGGCATGACAGGCAGGTGTGAATAGGGTGTCAGCCTTCCTTGGGTCTTTTCTCAGACAAGATGGACTTGAGGTACCCAGGTCTGAAGATGTAGGCTGGCCTGAGTGTGGGTGTGAAGATGTAGGCTTGGCCTGGGTGTGGGTGTGAAGATATAGGCTAGCCTGAGTGGGTGTGAAGATGTAGGCTTGGCCTGGGTGTGGGTGTGAAGATGTAGGCTAGCCTGAGTGGGTGTGAAGATGTAGGCTGGCCTGAGTGTGGGTGTGAAGATGTAGGATTGACCTGGGTGTGGGTGTGAAGATATAGGCTAGCCTGAGTGGGTGTGAAGATGTGGGCTGGCCTGAGTGGGTGTGAAGATGTAGGCTGGCCTGAGTGTGGGTGTGAAGATGTAGGCTGGCCTGAGTGTGAGTGTGAAGGTGTGGGCTGGCCTGAGTGGGTGTGAAGATGTAGGCTCGGCCTGGGTTTGGGTGTGAAGATGTAGGCTGGGCCTGGGTTTGGGTGTGAAGGCGTAGCCTGGGCCTGGGTATGGGTGTGAAGGTGTGGGCTCGGCCTGGGGGTGGGTGTGAGTGGAGGAAACCTCAGCATGTGTTTGTTCTTCTAGGAAAGGGTTTAAGCTTGTGATCCTGGATGAAGCTGATGCCATGACTCAAGATGCCCAGAATGCCTTGAGACGAGGTAAGACTTGCTGCCCATCCGACATGTTGGCCAAGGAGTGTACTGAAGGCCAGGAATTCTGGGTGTGAGATTATCTTCCCATCGGGAGGCACCTCTTAGTCCTACTGCCCTGTGGCCGGGTCCCTTCAGCAAGTATGGCTGGGGTCTGTCATCTCATCCCCCTCCACTGCTGGCTTCCGGTCCAGATGGGGAGTCTGTGTCATTCAGTGGGAATAAGGCTTCATTTCCTAATCCACTGGCAGACCCTCACACTGGGGAAAAAAAAAAAACAGAAACAGACACCAGGCAAGACTCTGAATGTATGTAGGAGTGGCCATAGTGCGGGAGTGAGCCCCATTTTCCTGTGGAATGGGGCTGGTGCTGCACCTATTAAAGACCCTTCTGTGAGCATCCCATGACACTCCCAGGGAACGTGCTGTTCGAGGAGAGCAGCTTCGGGAGCCTGTGGGAGAGGAGACCTGGGAGGGAAGGAATGGCAGCATCTGTGGTAGAGAAGGAGGCACAGACAGACTTTCTTCTGGTCCCAGCATGTTGGCATCCTTCCTTCAGCATCTTGTTCTGCCAAGTGACTGTCAGTGTGGGCAGATCTGTGTGGGGACACTGGGTCCCTGCAGAGTGACACTGGTGTCCTGTGCATCTCTCAGCACTGGCTGTTGCTCCCAGACTTTCAGGCATGGGCTGCAGGGAAGTGTGCACAGAGCCATCCCCCTGCCTGGAGAAGGCGGGCCTTGGTAGCCTGTGAGACAGCACCTTATCCAAAGGGATGGGGGCTCACGGACAGACGGCGCTCAGATCTTGAGGAGACGGCAAGAGTGCTAGCTAGGATTGTGGCAGATGATAAGAAAGCGCATCTTGTGCACTCATGTTTATTACCTTTGAAAGTATAGTGGCAAGCTGGGTGTGGCGACTCATGCCAGTAATCCCAGCACTCCAGAGGCTGAAGCAGGTGGATCACCTGGAGTTTGAGGCCAGCGTGGGCTTCAGAGTTAGATCCACCCAGGAAGGTAGTTGAGCTGGACCTGTTGCTCTGTACCCTGGACCACCCGCTGCCCCTGCAGGCGGCTAGCTTTCTGTTCTAGCTTCCTGCTCTAACCGTCGGTGAACCTTCCCAGGA